TGCTGAACCGTTACAGGAAAACAAATGCTTTTTGTAAGAACTTAGCACTTGCCATCCTTCAATTAAGAACTGACAGATCTCTCACCTACATGTTTCTTAGTCACTCCAAAAGTCTTGTTTAGCTTTGCATTTCCAAAGAGGTTAAAAGAGGGAAATAAAGTTGTACATGTTATACATCTATAAGCATCCCCCCACACAAATACGTAAGCCCTTCAGCCCACCCCCCAAAAGCAAAGAGAACCTTCCTGAAGGTGTTCTTTGCTGTGTGGTATGGCGCGCTGCAGAAATGTTGTTGTAGGAATGACCCTGTTACACCCACTGCTGTTATTCTTATGAAAAAATACAGTCAAGTCAGTGGAGAGCTATGTGTAGAGAGCGGTCATTTTCATGAGTCAGGCTTGAGCAATTAAGTGCTGCATTTTTCCAGCAGGCTTCTAGATTTGTTTGGGAAGAAATGTTACAACTTGCTGCGTACATTGTCCATCCAAGCGTCACCATGTAGCTGAAGCTGAATATTTAAGTTGGTTATATGTGTTGTCGCTTCAACCTGTGGCAACTGTTGCTACAATGAGAGGCTGAAAGGCCTGTCACGGGCATGGAAAGATTAACCTCTGTACAGGCAGCATCCAAAGAGACAATATAGCGTCTGCTTTCAAAGGCACACCTTCTTCTGATGCTTAAGATTGGTTGTCTACATCCAAAGCATGATATTTGTTACCTAAAATTATATTCTAGATGGCTTTCAATCCTGTTACCAGGTTTAAAATGACAAACCAATACTCTCAGCATCTAGTGCATTATTGTGGTATTTTTTACTGGTGAACAAAGCAAATAGGTTTCATGTTAGCATCGGAGATGCATGATTTTGAGATACCAGTTTTCCCATGGTCCTGCTGCTGCAGTGGATCACATTTAACCTGTGGAAATATTAATATAGATATCATGTAACACCTTCTCTCTGACTCTTTGACCACTACCAAAGCACAATACTTTGTACTGCTTATCCTGAGCCCATTTGTCAACAGTACCTAATTGATTAGGCTACTGTAACATTTTTATTCTGCACATGAAGTTTCCTCCTCAGCAATCTCTCCCTCCCAAAATGTACATTCATCATTAATTACAAAATCAATGAGAGAGATGGTCTGGACATATACAATTGATAGCTTCCCTCTTCAGATTAGCATAACCTCCCAATTCATTACGTGAAATGAATAATACAATTGCTGCCACTGTGAGAAAGAGGCAGGCCACTTGCTGTAAATTCCTTAACAAAATGTGGTGTTAGGCACCTTTTCATTCACTGAATGTTTACTGTGTGTTTGGAGGTATCCATCTTACTGAGCCCAGATTTGTTCTCCTATCTCTTGGCAAAGCAACAATCATAAATTTAGACAACTAAATGTTTAAATGTTGAAAGACATTTCAGGTTCCTCCTGAAAGCTGCAGTGATTAAACTGAGAGTGGCGTAGTGCTGAGACTGCAACTATGAATAAGATATTAAAAAAAAAAGATGAAAGGATCAAAAAATGTGGTCCCTTTAAACCCAGTGATGTTTGCTGCATTAGAAGGGTGAATGGAATTTAGGCCACTGTGTGTGTACTTTTCTGTGTTAAAGCATATTAAATGAGTGAAATCTCCTAGATATGTCTTTCACTCTGTACTGTATTAGGATTAGAGTCTTCCATTTTTCTTTTCTCAAAGAAAAAAAGCTTTCAGTCACATTTTCCAAAATAGCTTCTGTGGTCTTTCAGTAGCTACCCAGTTATAACTTAATAACCCGGGTCAATTATGAAGAGATATAACATTTCCTGTAAGAGTCAGGAATGTAGCTGACATTCAGTAAGTATTTCTTTAGTAGATGGATACAAGAATAATCCCCCCCCCCCCCCCCGCCTTTTTTTTTTTAATGTCCATCTTGTACCTGACTCCAGGAGTTTCACTGAAATTAATGGAACACTTTGTGGAGTGTAGTTTGGACACAGAAGTAATGTTTAGATGCTTCCTGTCAGTACCCAGACACTGGAATATGTTTATGCTGAATACGCTTTATATATATGCCGAAAACACTTTATATACTATATATACATATATCAGGAATCTTTATTTTAAATTCTAAGATATGAAAGATGGCTTAGCCATTTAATTAAAGGGAATGGGTGCTTACAATGCCCATAAATATTAATGGATATTTTATTGGAGTTTTAGGAGGAGTAAAAAATCATTCCCAATTAATTAACTGCAAGACAGCCACTCACCTCAGCAGGATTTGGACCAGGTTTCAAGTGATTCTTGGTGAAATTAACAGTCCTTGTGCTAGGGATTGCAAAAGCATGCCCTGTAATGTTTAAAACATTAAAACTAAATGCATGAACTGAACTGAAGGTACAGTAGTATTATTACAAAGCTGTTATCTATAATAAATAAATTAGAGAGAATACCTGAAGCAGGGCTAATGCCAGTATTTACAACAAAATTCAAGCTAGGCTATGAAAAAGAGTAATGCTAATTGTCTTCCTTCTTATTACATTGTAGTATAATCATCTATGTGATAGAGGTCAACAGAATAAATAGATAATTACAAACATGCATTAAACCAAAGATGTCTATCTAGTTTGGGATGAAGACAAATTTGTTATCTGATTTTATTAGCACTTCCGGATTGTCCCTTGAGCTAATTTTGCAATGCTCCCAATGTGATTACCATTCAGAAGTTTTATTTAGACCTCGGTGAAGAAAATGACTGCAGTCTCTTTCTCTTCATCTGTACATTCTGAATCAGATATTCCTCTCTGGAAAACTTTCCAAAAGGATTCCTTGGTGAAGATTGGATTGCAAAATCAAAGTCTTGGTTTACAGAAATGGTGGTGTCTTTCAGCACAGAAATTAAGTCAAAACTGCATGCAAGCATTAAGTCCATCCCTCTCAAATATATTTTTCTATTACTTGCTTCAGTGTTAGTTCTCACATTCCCAGTCATGGGGCTGTCCTGTGTTTGTCAGCTACTCAGTCATCTGGCAGGATTTCCTCCTGGTTATTTTCCAGTAGTCGTAATTTTGTGATATTACTACAGTCCTGGCCAGAACCCCTTAGTCTCACTTTAAATAATTCTTCCACAGTCTTACAGTGTGCTCTTCAAACCTCAGTCGCTATCACATCTTTCCTGTCTTACCCAAACTAGATATACAACTTTTTTATTACGACAATGCGTGGAAAAGGAAAGACTGATGAACCCCATCTGATTATTTCTGCATGAATAAGGTTCTCTTAGCTAAACAGAAGCCCTTTTCATGTGAAAAAACCTTGCATGTTTTTGGCCCATGTAACCATATTTATGAAGTTTTTTCAAGCACATTGTTGACTCATTTATCTGTGATGCGGTGTTGTTACATTTTATCATGTAAACATGTACTTAGGAGCCTTTATAAAATGCAGATTATTGACCAGTCCTATAACTATTTACTCACATTTTAAGAAAACCAAATTATCTGACCTGATTGCATAACCATTAATTCTTTAAAAAGAAAATGCCACTGTAGTATATCTGTATTTGGAATTAAAAAAAAAAAAAAGGCTTAAAATTATCCCACTAAGCTGCTAACAATCCTTTTGGAGGAATTTCAGACTCTCCATGTGTTTGCGTTTGCCTTATAGCCTCATGGCTTGCAAAATTTGTGTTTGAAAATATAAATATTTTTTGAAATTTAGGAATTAAAAATGAAATATGTTTGGCTGAAACTTGTTTGCCAAGTTTCAGCCCAGAGAAAAATTATTATGGTTGAGCTGCAAACCTCTGAATATAGGGGTTTATAATGGAAACACTGACATCGCTTTAACTGTAGTGGCACTAGCACTGCAGTGTAATATACACTAGAAATAGAAAACAAGATTAGAGATGACATTTAGGACATGAGGCCTTCTCCAGGCTGTGGGAAAAATTACTGTGTTCTATTTTTTTCCACAGCCTGAAAAAGGCCTCTGGGTCTGAGTGTCACCTCTAATCTTATTTCCTATTCAGACCGTGCATTTAATTAACCCATTTTTAAATTATTATTGACAGTAGATTGTTGCAGTGTTATGTACCAGCCCACATCCAAATTGTGGCTTCCCTAGCTCGTGTATGTCAAGGTGGTGGGGAAAGTACCAAGGAGACACAGCATTTTGTTTATATTTCCCTATCAAAGGATCACAGTCCTGCAGCCGGCTGGATCCTGTCGCTACCAGCTGTGCTAGCTGATGAATTGGGCAAGGGAGAGACCAGGGAACTGCAGTGCTGTGCATATACGCAAGCTACTTTTGCTAAAGGCAAAGTAAAAGTTAACAATTATATACACTTACCCTGGAACCTCTGGGAGCAGTAACCAGGATAGTCAGTTACTCAGGTGCAATGAATTCCGCTATATATTAAAGAATGTTGCTGAACACTAAGAAATAATTTGGCAATATGTGATTGTGGGCTGGGTTACCTTCACCACTGGTGAAGCCCTGGTGTTAGTACTGTCAAGGAGATATCTCCATCACTGTGGCCCCCCCATCAAAGGAGGGACTTGGTATTGTCTCAGAAGGGGTACTGAAGCTCCAGAAGTAAGTTTTAGATTTCTTCATGGCAAACTCTTTCCTTCCTAGCCATCTTCCGACTCGTAGCTGTTTTATTTTCCTATTCACTGTACTACACGATAATTGCCTGTATACTTACATGGCCTTTTAATGCCTACTGTAGTGCTACAGTATTGCTTTGCTATGGTCTTTCAAGCTGTATTCTCAATGTGACATAAAAAGGAGCAATAAGCAAAAAAACTACCGTTGCAGAATAAATGTGATTGCAATTACTCCTTGCACCCAGCAGACTAATGCCTGTAGAAAATCCATATCTTTAGGACGATTAGACAGACAGCATACATGTATCCTGTCTATATTGCTAGAATGGTCAAAGTAGAAACTTGTACTACATTTGGACTGCATTTTCAATACTCATCTGACAATTCTTTTTATTGTTGCAGTCACAGTAGACAAAGATACTGGAAGCTGCTGTCCATTCTCCAAGAAATGGATCCTGCAAAGTCAGTAATAGCAGTAAACTTACTGCTGAAGCAATTCCCTAGTGAAGATACTTCATTCCACCACCGTGAAAGCTGATATTAATGAAGGGATAAACGTGTCTTCTGTTCCGTATGTGTAAGTAGGTGTATAATACTGTATATTTTGTTTGTATGCAAGTGTCTTCTTGGCAGGTAGTCTGCAACCAGCAATTGCCAGCTGCTAAATGTTCAAGGAAACATGATTTGAATTGCTCTCCACACTGTGGGAGAGTGGTCAGGAAAACAATTCACATTTAATATAATCAATCGATTCAGTCCCTGTAGCAAAGATACAGGAAAATTTGTTTACCAGTGCATGTATTTTGGATTTAAATTTTCAGAGAGAGAGCTGAATAATAATTATTCTCTCTTCCACAAAGAATACATCTTAAAGCCTAGGCTGGGTCCCTCAGAAAACCTGGAATATGAATGATTACATAAAGCAGAGATTTCATATTCATTTTTCAACAAGATTTTGACATCTTTATTGGCACAATATATTATTCAAATTGTGTTGTTCATAGATACAGGAAAATGTCATCTCCTTTTTGTGGTTCTTAGGAAATATAAACTTTCTTTCAAAAATATTCCTTCCAGTGGTTACAGCTCTCACTGAACAGTACTTTTTGCACAAGCCAAATGCACCATATAGTCATTTGACAAAAAATAGCAAGATGATTTGAAATGCCATTAGTTACCAAATCTGCTCTAGCAGGCTGGTAACCACAATACTTATTCATGAGCAATGCTGGGAGACAGGACGTTCTTTCGAAACCACTGCCTTGGGCTGTGAGTGTGGGACATGAAGAACAGGTGGAACAAAGTCTACATTGGGAAAGCAGAAGACTCAGCTTCAGGCTACAGGTGTGCTAATCACTGCCCCTGGAGTGCTAAATCATTCCAGCAGACATGTTGAATTTGCCTAACACTCATGTCAGAACACTGTGATACACCAGCCACCACGTCTCACTTGTGACAGTCTCAGGTCACATTTCTGGACTTCAGGGCCAGAAGAAGACTTTCTGAGAAAAGGTACTCTATGTATAGAAGCTGCAAGGAGTGAATCTGAAAGAGTTCTGTTGGTGCAATGGAGTGAGTGGGCACTGATTGCAATCTTAACCTGATCCAGCTCCAATGTGCTGGTTTAAATGATTACCTGATTTAACTAAACACACATTATTGCACCTTTTGTTACTCTGGGACAGCTCTGCCTACAGGTGACCCAACCTGAAACAATAACATGGCCTGCTGTTTGGTAGGTGGGAGGAATGTATTTACAAAGCAAAGCTCATGTCTGCCAGGCATGGATCTGCAGCTTTCAAGATCCCACCAGCCGTGCAAGTCCTTCATCCAGAAAAAAACTTGTATGCTCTCTCTCAGCACAGGTAAATGACCTTGCAGGTGGCAGTAGGTCATATTAAGTTAGCGCTAGGTCGTTTTCCTTGTTTGCTCTTGAAACATTTTGTGTGATGATTCTGAGCATATGTGATACTACTATTCCCCTACACTGTCAGAGACAGCAGGAGATTAACTGTGTGTTGGTAATGTGCAAGGGAAAAGCGAAATTTGCCTAAGTTCAGCACCAGCTCTGATTTTCCAGCACACATAAGTCTGAAATTTATTGGTGGGAAATCAAGCAAAGCAAAACAGCCTACTGGCAAAATTTGCTGAAGCATAGGTAAACTAAAGCTGTGAGCTTCACACAGCTCTAGATCCAAACTTATCCAATCCTAGCAAAAGCCTTATGGCTTCGTGCTGCATTTTGTCTTCTGAAAGTCAGTGTTACTGTTTCCTTCTTGTGTACCACAGAGATGTGACAGTGAAAGATCAGTTTCAATGTGCATGCACAGCATTTGAGTTATCTCCTTCCAACAGCAGGTCCTGTTCTGCATCACATCATTCATAGGAGGCAATAGGAAGAATGTTAAAATGCTAAATTGTGACAATTTAAAGCAACAGTTTTATGTGATAACCTTATGTTATTCAGAAACTACTTGAAATACCATTATGATATTATAGTGCCACTACACATCATCCAGAAACTATTCACCATATTTCTCCCTATATTTGTCTTGCAATTTGGTAGGCACGTTGGCTAGAGTTGACTGAAAAGATTTGTACCAGGTGAAGTCTTTTTCCTCTAGACTCACCTTGGTTGCTTCCAGTCCTTGATGAACCTTTTCCTTTAAGACACTTTGGGAACCAGCAGGAATCTTCCTGCAAGAGATGAGGGTTCACGGTACATCTACACAGATAAGCCTGTACATCTGTTTTTAACTTGTGGTCCCCAGGCTTTAAAGCTGATCATCAGTTAACTTCTAGGTACCCTGACTCAAGCTGCAGCTCCTGAGTGGCTGGAGTTGGCCCCTCACTGTTTACCTCTCTCATTTTCTGTGTGCTGTACATTCTCCACTCCACTCTGGAACAGAAATTTGAATCTCAGTTTCCCAGACACCAGGGAGTGTCTTGATGCTTACCAAATAGGTCGGTAATGCTTCTTTATCTGATTCAGTGCCACCTGCTGTTCAGATGAGGTTGAAATGTCCTAGAAGGAAAACAGCCTGCCTCAGTCCAGGACAGCCAGTTACCAGGTTGCCTGGGGCACTCAGCTGGGAAGTAACATCTTGCTCTGACTGAAATGAATCTGTTGATTATTCTGAAATCCCCTCCCATCACATCACTGTGCAACTTCATGAGAAAGTTCACATCTGAGAAGCCCTTGGGGAAAGAAATACACAAGTGCCTGAGCCCTTCTCCATCCGTTGGCATCTCATTTCTTATCTATTCCCTATGGTACCCTTTTCTAGAAATCTAATTCCCTGCCCAGGTTCTTGGGGAAACCTGTCTTTAGCAAAGACATCCAACAAGTCAGATTCTATGATGCTGATTCCAAATGTTTTTACAAATGTTGCTGTTAAGCTTTCTTACCTTCTCTCTATGCTGTCATTTTGAAAGGGAGGGGTTGTAAGAAAATGTAGTTTTAAGAAAAACCCTCTCTGAATTGCAAGTTCAACTATTAAAAAATGCAACTAAAATAAAGCTTGACACATTGTGTCTGGCAAAAAAAAATCCTTAACTGCATTGTAATTTGATCAGAAACAGGTTATAGATTTTGAATATTGCCTAAAAAAAGACAGTGTTACTTGTGGCTTCTGGAAATGCCAAATCCTGCAGTCTGGTCTTAGACTCCCTTTGAACATTTGTTAGGGAAAATCTGTAAAATTGATTAATTTATTAAGTATAATAATAGCAGTAATATACTGCAGTGAAGGTTATTTTGCATATCTTTAAAACATTTGCAGAAGACTCAACATTTGGTGTCTTAATAGGATATAGTTTCACAGTAACAATTAGCAATTTTGTGGTGTCTGCTGTAGTAACTGCTACAACAGTAAGGGTCTTCTTACCATGTTTTCAATGCAAGAGGTAGCATGTAGAGCCACCACCTTGTTGGGGTCAGTCTCAGGGTGTTGGCTGAATAGCTTAGAGTTCAGCTGTGACAAGTGGACAAGCAATGTGACTGTCTCCATGCTAATGTGTCTGCAGGAATTTGCACAGGGGAAATAGGGCACTGGTGAGAGTAGCAGAATAAATCAAAGTGTGAAAACAACTGCAGTCATCATACCCAAGCAACCAGTGACTTGGCATGCTGTTTGGAAACAGGTTGGGTTACCTGTCAACGTAGCATTATCTCTCTGTTGCTAGAAAATAATGTCATCTGAGGATAAAACCTAAGGAGCACAGATGGCTGTTATACAGACTTGATCCTCTAAACTCTTATCATAGCAAATTATTCCATTGATATAAATTGGACCACTCCTATAAAAAGGATCTTGGTTATATTCTTTAATTCTTTTATTATTGAAATGATTGATCTATTAAGTACAGTTTCTTTGCTTTCTGTATGGGTGTATATCTGTTAATCTTTAACAAACTAACATTATTTGGTGGACAAACTGTGTCATAGCCTAACAGTCACTGGGATCAAAATCATTGTTTCAGACTGCAGGATATAAATTCTCACTTGGAAACATTATCTATGCATATCCTAAACAAAGAGATATAGACTCTGATTTGATATTGGTATTTACTTTGCTTGAGAACCTGTGGCCTGGAGTCCTATACCTGTCTGCAGTCTAATGTTTTTTCCCTTGGTTTCTACATAGGCATTGAAGACTTGTGGCTGTAGAGCAAGAATAATTTAAACAAGAGTAAAACAAGTAAAATGGATTGAAATTTAGAATGGAGCCTCATTTGTTTTTACCTATTCCAAATTAATTTATGTATGATTATGATGCAAATCTCTTAGCATGTCCTGAAATATTCATTATTTGAATGTGAATCATTTTCATAACTGCTATTTGTGTTTTCAGGCAAGCCTCCATGCTCTGTGAAACTTTCATGAGCAGAACAGCTACAGAGTTCATGCAGTTTCCCTTACTCTATGCACTGTCTAGGAAACGGTCCCACTAGCTTCAGAAACACAGAAATCAAAATAAGAGCAAGTTGCCTTCAGATGGAAACCTTGCAGACACGAAGCTGACCCAGTTGCTTAACTTGATAATGTAGCTTGCTATGTCACTGCACAGTTTTGTAAGGCAGCTTTATGGAAATTTGCTAGAAAGCACTTCCCTTCTCCTCTCTTCTTTCTGTCTGTTTCACTGCTAATTTAGAACTGAAGCCAAACTCTTGGAAGCCCATTTTATCTAAGCAAGGATTAAGATAAAATATTGAATCCCTCCACTCCTTCAGTTTTGAGGAAAATATTACAATTCTTACAATTCTTTTCACATAAGCTGTGCAGTTCAGCATTTTTGACCATTATTTGGACTTTCTCATTTACAGTCTACTAAACATTTATTATTTTGAAGATACCTTTTCCCCAGGAAAACCTGCAATGTTGGATTTGAAGCTGTCCCCTGCGTGAGGGTTTGAGGCCCTGGGATACAGACCCAGCATTAATGCTTGCCTCCTGCTGGCACCAGTGGACCAGGCAGCAGCAGACTGATTACACAGAACTCTCCCATGGTTTTTGAAAACTGGATTCCCTCTAATTAAACACACATTGGGAATTCTCTGAAATGGGAAAAAAACAACCAACCAAACACCAAAACCCGTAGTATTTCTAATTTTTACTATAGCTGTCACTGACACACCATAGATTCAGCTAGCTATTTGTTATGAATAATGTTTAGTTTTAATTCTGGCATTATTAACTGAGTAACTAGGAGTATTTTGTCATTATTTTACCAGACATGGACTGCAATGAATCTGTCTGGAATGCTTCTGGGCCGTATTTTCTTTAATAACAAAACCAACATGGTGACTTGCAAATATTTGTTTACTTTGGTTCTATTTACTCCAGCATTCTCCTTTGGCAGGAACATGTTTCTTCATTAAAGGCTGAAAAAGAATATTGGTGTTAGTCCTAGGTTCTTAAATACAAAACCCATAAGGAATAAAGCTAGAACCATTTTCACAAATGACAGACTAGCCCAGGACTTTTCCTGAAAAACAGTATAAGCAGACTTTGTACTTCTGCCCATGTAGAAAATGGGCTATCCATTTGTGTTTATATTTCTTTTTTTTTTTTCCCACAGAACCATCTTTGCCTCTGGTATAATGGAGCACTCATCACTGCCCTGTATCTAAAGAAACCAATTCATAAAAACTGTTTGGAGCTGATTTTCTGGAGTTCCATCTGAATCTCAGGATGTGTCCGTGTAACTCAGTTACTGTCTGCTGGCAGAGAGCTATGTGTGTCTAAATGGATAGCCCTTAATACCATAAATTTTAATACAGCAGTGACAATGAAGCACAGTGGGAGCAAATTCTGACATTTACTTCTGAAGCTGTAATTTAATTCAGTCATAAATGAGCTTGGTTCAAGTATTAATTTGAAGTCGCTTCTATTTCTCATCTGCTGGCTAAAGCTTGCAAACAATAGGGTAAAGGTCTTGCTATAGTGCTACAAATAAGTAAACAATCTTTTCTGCCAAGTGTAAACTCAGAGTCACAGAATAAATTTTGACTAATTCATCCTACATATGGATACTTGGAAACTACAGATGCTACATAACAATCTCTATCTACAAATATTTCCCAAGGGAAAAGAGAACGTCAGTTTATAAACCTAGTTTAAAATAAATCATTGCCATGGACTGCTGTTAGCGCCCACACTAGAGAAGCACTGTGGACAGGGTGAAGTGTGGGCAGTCTGGCTCAGCATGAGGAGCACAATCCCCATATAAGGGGAAAGCAAGGTGAGTTCAGAAGCTGGGAAGAGAACTTGAAGAGGATATGGGGGAGAATAAAAGCCTCAATTCATCAGAAAGCAACTGCAGCAGCTTACCTAAATATACCTGCTGTTCTCTGAAGAGGCTGCAGGCTTATCTGCACCATGACCAGCTAAGCTAGACTGTCCAGTTAGAGCTAAGAAGGAGCTGAAGAACTGGACTGAAGCTTGGATTAAAGATGACATGTAGACTTAAAAGCGAAGTTGTTTACTTCCCTTCTTTTCCCTTACTGTGCCTCACATAGTGGCACAGCAATAGGAGCAGGGTGGCATGTAGGTCCTAGTTCTGGCTAACTCTGAGTAATAACGCATGATAGCCTGATTCTTTTCCTTTCGCTCCAGATCTCCTTCCTGTGCTGTTGTCATTACCTGTGTATCTCTAGACGTGTAGATAATTCATCTTTACAATTTGCTTTACCACATCTCCATAAGAGTTGTTCCTCTTTCTTATTGCTATCGCTTTTGAACACCACCATCTCGTCAGCATCACTGGACAATTCCCTAGTCTATTTAATCTGCCCCCTATTTCACATAATTTCTTCACAACACTTTCTCTACCTTTCCTTTCTTCCTCACTTCAGTTTTTTGACTCTTTGCTTCCACCTTTTCCCTGGGGCTCTTTCCTTCTTCCATTACTCTGTACATACCACTAACCCTTAGCCCAGGGATAGAGGGAATATAGGGAAAACAAGGAAACTCTCTCTCTCTATTTACATTGGTTTCCAACTCCTTCTACGGACAGGCATATGGTGTTTATCTAAACTGTCCAACACATTAGTGGGAGGGAAGTAGCACCCCAAGGACTATTACAACATTTTACCTGTCAGATGCCACCATATTTATTGATATGAAAACTTCCTCCCTTCATATTAGCCACTGAAACCTCCCTCTGTGAAGCTCTCTTGAATTTAGCCATTGCTATATTAAAATACTTTGTTAAACTCACTAAGTTTCAGTGTGGCTAGAGTCAATATCCTTTATTCAGGAAAAGTTATCACTAAGGTCAATAGAATTTTAAAGTAATGACTGACGTGTTTACTGTATGTGGCTAGTTGAAGACATTACGTTTTTAGGATTAATTTCAGTGGGCTACATTCGCATATGTAAGTATATACATACATACACATGTGTGTATATACTTATTTGATTTTGATTTCCAAACCCCCTATTTTGTATCAAATATTCCTAAAAACTGATTTAACACTTCAAATCAGTTAATACTGATACATCAAAATACTAAGGTAGGGTCAAGATAAAGTATTAGTTGCATTATTTTTCAGATAATCCTGAAATATGTAAGAATGCCAAGCCAAATCTGGAAGGCATTTATAAAAAAAGGCAAGAGATATTTGGGGGGGGGGGGGGGGAATCACTTTCCCTTTTTGTCTTTTAAAAAGAATAGTTTGAATTACATTTTCTACAGTTTTAATCAAATAACCAGAGCCGATGCAAATATGAAGAGCAGGGGTCAAAGACGATTTAAAAACCATCCCCTGGAAGGGGGAGAGCTTTCTGTTTGATTTTACTTTCACAGAGAAAAACTACATTCAATTCAGTCAAGCACTGCAATTTCAAAAATTTTGTGGTTCTGGCTTACTTTCACAAAAGAGAAAAACTTCAAAGTTAAGGATCAAGCCTCCAATGCTTGGTCACAATATGACATAGTTGGGTAAAATTAAGCATGGCAACCTGTTGTGATAGACAGTGGGGAGGGGGTGATCTCTGATCCTGGATTTCCTTTCTTTTGCTGATTGAATCATAGTTCATTTCTTTTGCTATTATGGTAATATGCCGTAACTTTTTATTTTGGAATCAAGTAAATTCTAGAATGTCTGCACATGTGTATTGGTAATAAAATATTTTATACCTTTAGGATAGCTATAAACCTGACTCCCCTTTGCTGGTGAACACGTTCTGCATTTTTTTTATGCCTACAGGGCCTTACAAGCACCCTTTTTTTTTCCTTTGGCTGACACAGGAACATGATCATCATATCGATTGACATGCAATAGCATAGTATGTTGTTCTGCCTCCACTGGGATTGGTATATGAGGAAAAAGCAAAGTCCACACATGGAAACATCTTTAAAAAATCCATTGATAGAGCTTGGGAAAGCAGGCAACAGAGCCAGTGACATTTAGTGAAATTTTCTGTAGCAAGGCAAGTCAATGGATATGCAGAAAAGACTGGCTGGGGAAAAAAACCTGCACATGTTAATCCATCTTATAGGTTAAAATTTTCCCACCTCCATCTGTTCCTTAACGGGAAAATTGGATTTTGTGAGAATTTTTTTTTCCACAAAAAAAGTATCTGCTCTCTGTAGAAAATCAGAGCTATTCATCAGAAAGCCAAACACCTGCAAGCCAAATATTTCTGGCTGAAAGTATTGATTTGGAGTGCTGCTGCTGCACCTCTCAGGAGGATGGCAGTTCGGTGCTTCACTTCCACGCTCTTTGTGAGGAGACTCACAACTGCCACATCTTTACTGCCTTACATGGCTGAGCTCAAGCAGGGACAGAAGCTCGTGCAGCCAAACGGCTGCAGCACGTGACAGTCATGCTGCCTGTGAAGCACAATTTGGATGTGAGCTGATTTCTCCCTCCACTCCTCTTGCAGGGCTAGGGCCTGACTGAAAGCAAGCCAGGGCAGTAGGGATCCCAAGGGAGCTGGGGCTGAAGATGAACTCCAGGATCAGACTAAGCAGAATGCCGATTCTGATACAGCTCCACAGAGAACAATGATGTCTTCAAGCACCCAAATCTAGTGTTTGCATGGCTAAAGTGTTTCTGACTGTGAGTTTTCAGATGGAACCTTTATTATTTCACCAGTATAGAAAGAAATCTCTTCAGCTTTTCCAATTAAAAAACGAATCGGTAAGCTCAAATAGTTTTTGGAAAGTAAGGGGCCTGACTCTGCTCCGATAAACTTGAAGAGGCATTAACTGGGCAGAAGGTTATGTAGAACTGGAGCTTGGTAATGCATTTTTTCTTTTTCAGCATTTTTTTTCAGATTTGTATTTTAGCTTTGGTCAAATTGAGATTTTAAGAAATGTTGGCAAAGTAAAAAAAAATTAGGAAAACTGTCATTTGTGTTCAACCCAAGCTATTTAGTTCAGCTTCAAAGGAGTGGCTTAATTTTTTGGTCTTGTGCTGTTTCACACATTGAAAAGCTTTTTTTTTTTCTTTTTAAATTTAGGCTAATTTTAA